ATCTAAGAGGGTGGATGAAGATGAAGGATTATGGTCTTCGATTTTGATAGGAAAGCTGGGGATGGAGGCAAGAGAAGAGTCGAAACCGACCCGAGTCTGACTAACTCTGAGAACCACAAGGTAGAAGACTTGAGAAAAACAAGAGGATCCAGTAACGGGCAGCCTGTTCATGTAACCAAGGTTTTTCATCGTCTCAAGGAAGGATTGATCGGGAATGGTCCATGTTGCAGATTTAAGAGAATTTACAAAAGGAAAGGACCTAAGGCTAATTCTAGACCTCAGAAATGCCTGATAAAGAGCAATGGTGCAAACAGTTCAGAAGTTGATGCAGGCAGGAAGTCTCAAGGCATCGAGTCTAGTAGTCAAGATAAGGAAGCATTCACAGGGGAGAGGAGGAAAGCAACAAGATGAAGTCTCCTAAAAGAAACTTGGAGGAAGAGAGAGAGGAAGGGATGGAGGTAAGAAAGGAGAAACCTATTGACAGTGGGGAGAAGGATGAGAGAAAAGGAAGTGCCTAGGAAGTGATTGGTGAGGAAAATAGAGAGGGGGAGAGGAAGGAGGGAATAAAGCTGATACTAAGGATGTTAGAATTGAGAAGGCAAGAGTCGATATTGACAAACTAGTAGATAAACAGGTGGCAGTTGAGAAATCTCTTGGCCTTTTCTTTTTAGGGGGAGAAGCAGTGGTGAGGAAGGCAATTGAACAATTTGAACAAAATAGAAGGCAGGAAAAGAACAGGAGAAGCACAGTTGGGGAAGGGGGTGAGAAATGGGAGGAAGGTGAAGGAAAGGAGTCAGATTTATGAAGAGTAAAGGAAGATGTGGGTTTTGGTGCAGGTGAGAGGGTGAGGCTTGGAGGTCCATGGCTGCTATAAGTTGGTTATTGGGCTCAGCTGGCTTGCTCTTGAGGTTGCTTTATGTTTTGGTCACTGGTGTAGCTGTTTTCTTTTGGGATGGTTAGGGTGCCAGTTGTTTGGGGGCCTTTGGATTGGGATGTGTTTTTTTTTTTTTTTGATCAATGGATTGGGAAGTGGTTGCTTGTTGTTATTTAGCTCTTATGGAGGTGTTCTCTCAACACCATCCTAGGTTGCAATTGTTTTTCTTTTTACTTATCAAAAAAAAGATCGCAAAGAAGACTGGGCAAAGGTTTATAGAAGAAAAAGGTAGTTTAGAACAAGGCTAGTTAAAGAAGAAAAAGGAAAGGAAATAGAAGATGTGGTTGGAGAGAAGGAAAACGAGGATGATGGAGTAGACGAGTCTAATAAGGTATAATCATTGATGAAATGCATGAACTTGGGACATCTATTCTATCAAAAGACCTGCCAAAGACCCGAACCATAGAGTACTTAGCACAGGTGCCACGGAGAGATATGTTTTTATATCTCGCATTGAAAATCCTCCTTAGTTATTGTAATACTAATACATATATAATCAGATGCATATGTGGTTAAGGATCACTTGTATTTGTACATGGAATCCCCAACTAAAATTGATATGTACAATGATCCGGTAAATGAGATTTTCTTTTCTTTTCTTAAAACAGAAAAAGACGTCCCCTTCTTCCTGAGCATTACCAATAACTATTCATTTATTTATATGCTGGATTTCATTTGTATATAATTCTTTTATTATATGYTATATGAAACCAAAAAGAAGAAATGGCAAGAGAAATTATATATCAATGGAGGAAATAACGATGTGGAATATCTATCATTTGGTTAATAAAATCACAATTCAATTATAAAAAAAAGGCAAATTTCTTATACCATCCCTATGGTTTAGCTAATTGACAAACTGTACCCTTACTGTTTGACTATTGTCTTAAACCACCCCTACTATTTCTGACAATTAACGTCGTTATTAAGTGCTAACAGAAAAAACAAAATGTCAAATTTGCCCTCCATTATTCCTCAAATTATCAAAATAAAACCCAATATATGAAAGTTTTCAGAAATAGGAAGCGTTCACGTCTCCACCTTTGCCTCCGTCTCCATTTTCCATCGGAAGCATTCACGTCTGTCATCCCCGAACACATTTTACTAACAGCAGTCTCCCATAAATTCTTGACTTTAAACTTCATAATCAGACCACCTGTCCTCAATGTCCGACCCTCTACTATAAAGAACCCAGCAATGTGAGCAAAAAATGTTTGATGAGATTCAAAAAAGGGCATCATCGAGGATACCTGAAACTTTGACGTCAACTGAAGCTTTCAGTTCTCAAAATAATACTATTTGAACCGATCTTCCAGCTCACAGACAAAACTAAAAGGAGAACTTTGGAATGGCAAACAGAAAAATTCAAGAATAAAATAAAGGAAACATGTCACTAACCTAAGATACCAGCAGTGCACTAGACGAGGGTAAAGATCATGCCTCCAAAAGCCCTTCCCACACCCATCACAGTTAAAATGGCTATGCTCAAGAAGAGAAAAGTGGCCATGAACTTTGCAATCCAAGCTCTCCTAAACGACCATGATTTCAACTCCTCGAGCTCAAATGGTGGAGCTGGTGGTGGCTCCTTGTAATCTTAGCTCACAAGACTGAGAAAAGTGGCCATGAATGCACAAGAAGAACGCATCGCTGAACTTCAAGATCTTATAAGACTGAGATCAAGATGCTCAAAGCCAAATACCATGTTGCAGTTCAACAATTCAGGGAGTTGAAGAGTGAGGTGGAGGAGCTTGAGGAAATCTCAAAGCTTCCTGGTTCTCGTCCGAGTTGCAGAGTTGCAAACAGAGGTCGTCGTTGGAGGATATCTTCCCCTATTTTCGTCCTTGCCTTCCCCCTGTTTCATGCTAAATGCAAGGAGCCGGTGAAGGGGCGGCGATCCATAAGAACCGCTCTAGGAACGAATCGACCACAACTTTCCTCGATGTAGTAGACATTCACCCTCTAAAGCTGTAGATCAGAGCCCACATGGTACCTTCTGCAAGCGTCGATCCCATGTTCGGTGTGGCTACATGAACATCCCATAGGAAAGATAGAGCACGGATTAGGTAGCCTGCAGTCCCATCAGTTTCAACCAGCAAACCCGATAACAAGTGTGCCAGTTTGGCAGGGCTGCAGCGGTGGTTCCAGTAGTGGATCCGACGGTGGTGTTGTGTGGGTGATGGAGAAATGGTCACCGCTTTTGTTGCTGAGACCTATTGTCTGTTTGCTGCGACTTCAGCAAGGATCCACTGTTCACCAGAATCAATTGGAAGAAATGGTCACCGCTTTTGTTGCTGAGACCTATTGTCTGTTTGCTGCGACTTCAGCAAGGATCCACTGTTCACCAGAATCAATTGGAAGAATGCTTACTGTTCATTTTCCCCGACCTCACAACACCCAAACAGTGGCACCGACAATTCCCACTCCTCCAGCCACTCTTTCTCTTCCTCCTCTTTCCCTCTCTCTTCTTCTTCCCCTCTTTCCTTCTCGCCAGCGTCCATTCCGAGATAACTTTCTACCCCTTTTATCCAGCAAGGATCCACTTTTGTTACTACGTCTCCTTGAACCCATTTTCAAACGGCAAGCATCGGCACACTCCTCACGTTTGAGATGGCAAGCACCGGCGGCGGGGGTGAATAAAAGCAAGCACATGCTCCTGAGGTTCAAATGGCAAGCACCAACACCCCCACGTTTTAGACAACAAGCACCGGCGTTGGGGTGAAGACAAGGGTCAAGGGTATTACTGTCATTTTCTTAAAATATAACAGTCATGTGGTGTGGCATGTGAGCGGATTATGACGGAACCCTAACGGTAGGGGAGTAGTTAGTCAATTGTCAGAAACAGTAGGGGTACTTTATGACAATATATGAACAATAGGGGTAGAGTTTGTCAATTAGCTAAACAGTAAGGGTAGCTGAAGAAATTTGCCCAAAAAAAACTTGGGACATCTATTGACCTGGACTCTGGTAAATGTAGAAACGGAAGTAAGTAAAAATTTGGATTTGTCCTTTCTTGGTGCAGGTTGAACAATGTGGAAATGGAGGAGGGGAGTGCATTGGAAAGATTTAATGTTGTTCAGGAGAGACGAAATGTACTTGGGAAGGAGGTAGATAGCAGGGAAAGTGAAAAGAGGGCAGATCAGTTTTTTGAGAAAAATGTTGTTTTGAAACTAGAAAGGATAAATGACAATGAATTGGGTGTGCAAGGGGCAAAGAGGAAACCTAATGCAGCTAGAAGATTCAGAAGTCAAAAAAACCAGAATGCGGTCCTAGTTTCAAAGTTTTCAGCAAGTGAAATGGGAGGTTTATTTGGAATAGGTCCTTTTAAGAAGATGAAGAAATCGAATATCTCTAAGAAAGGCAAGGAGATTGCTCTCTAAGAGTCTAAGTTGCTGAAGTAATGGGGATCAGGGTTGCGGTGTTCTGTCAAAGGGTTTTGGGGGTTGAGTGCAGTTGGGAAAGGTCTATGTTGGGTTGAGAGATAGAGGGTTTCTGTGTGGGTGAGTTGAGCTTCAAGGTTGTTTGTGGGATGTGTTTTTTGGAAACGGTTGGGTTTGTGCTTATGCATAGAGTTATTGGGGTTTTTTGGGAGGGGCAGTTTTTTGGTGTTTCATGTTGGGTTTATTTTTGTTGTGGGTGATTTCTTATCACCATTCTCTGTAATGCTCTCTTTATTTCGAATAAATTTTATTTTTTATTTATCTTAAAAAAAAAAGGAATCTTCCTGTTAATAGCTTCCTACTACCTAATTGATCCTTTAGTTTAAGTTTTCTTCCGCATTTAAAATCATGTGCTAGGAAGGTATTTGACCAAATGGAACAACAACTCTCAAGCAAACTTTCATATAAAAGGCAACAACATATACATCAGAGAAGCACAAATGTGAACAAATTTCATTTGCAAACAAGAACACATATAAAAGTTATAAAAGAAGTAAATAAAAAATTATTTGTAACTTGACTGTGTTTTGTGAATGATCTTAAGAGAAGAAACGGAAATAATTAGAAGACTCAGAACCAATATGGTAATAGTAAACAAATCCTGGGAGCAGATACAAATTACAAAATACCTCAATTTTCCTCATCTCAGCCTCTGTTTTTGCTTTTTGATGATTTTCCCATGCTTGTATTTTGATCTCTTCACGTTTATACCTGAAAATTGTCAAAATTCCTCATTTGACATTGCACATTGAAAAATACTAACAACAGAAAAGCATATAGCACATGGATAGTGACCCTTCTGACATAGTGAGAGCAACTCCTGGGCAATCATTATTTAGATGCATGTCAATAATCAAGATTAACAACTTGTGGTAAAAGAGACTGATACTGGGTTAAAGTTAAATAACCTGGCCATATATTTTGCTTTCTCTGCCTCCTCCCAGGCAGTTGCACGGGTCTCAATGACACTTTTAGCTGGTTTATCCATAGGTACAGTCTTAAGAGAAGTAGATGCATCATTGTCCTCCTCCTCCTTGCTTGCCCAAGCAGCAATGTTCATCTTGCCAAGTTGTGTTCCAAGAATCATTATTTCTCTTCTAGTCCTCATTTGTATTTCTTTCTCAGACAACTCCTTTTTGTTAGGATCCAGTTGGCAATCGGTTGGCTCAACAGGAGATGAAGGTGCAGCTCTTCCTGGAGTGGATGGTCGAGAAGAGTTTGGGCTCCGTATTGGTGTTGTTGCCCTCACAGGAGTTCCAGTCCTGGAAGGTTCTTGACTGGCAATAGGAGTCATTTCTGTACCCATATCTCTCATGGACACAGACCTGACTGTCGAAGGAGGTGGAAGAAAAGTTGTGGCACTGTGGATGGAAATAGATGAATCATGACGGCTGAGGCTAACTGCATGGGATGATAGGCAAATATAAGATTATAAGTTCAAAATTTTCAACCAAGGTTCAAAATTCCAGGAGCCTGACATGAAAATTCCTCATTTGTGAAATTCAGTACACTCCTTCAGTGTAGATCTTGTTTGAAAAATTATTTATTTCCTTGTCAAGCATATTATTGTACTCTTTTCGTTACAGGTAGCATATTATCATACGAATCATCCATTGACGGTTCCCACAACAAGAGTTAGATCTCTGTAGGTCAGTTTTTTTGATCAATCTGTAGGTCAGTTAGTTTCTTAGAGGGACATCAGTTTCTGTTGAAATTGACTGTGATGTTTCTTCATATCAGTTGCGATGCAAGCATGGAAGGGAGGAACAAAACCATGGAAGAAGAAATCTAGTTTCTTCATAATCTTGAAATAATGGCAATTTCGTAATTTGTAGGTGAGTTGAATTTAGTACTTTTCAGTTTTTCAAGTTTATTTTCTAGTTTGTGGGTGTCTTACTAATAGAGTTAGTTATCTCAAAAGGTAGTAGTATTAGTTTAAAGAGTCATATTAGAGAGACTTTAGAGTTTTGAAAACTTAAGATGCAATAACCATTGTGTGAGCTTCAGATGAAGATGGAAAAGTTTCTTGGTGTGACTTTCCTAGGGGAAGAAGACAGTATGAGAAATTGGTTATGAACTAGAGAGATGATGGACCAAGCAGAACATACAAAATCTCTAAGAACCAGGTGAATTAGGGGGTGGATCTACAGTCAGTGAATTGGAATGATACAGAGTGGTCTTTTGACCGTCTGGATTGGCTTCCAGGCTATTGAAAAGAAAAGAAGTTGGTGGGCCTCTATGACAATGTTGTAGTGCAATCTCAAAGCTGAGGTGCCAGTAGCATTTGGGGAAGAGGTCAAGGTGGCAGGAGAAGGAACATCTCGGTAAAAAGGTGGTTGGTTTGTTTGCATAGCCAGGCAATCAATGTTTTTTGGGTTCGAGTGTGGGTGAGATAGTGGCCCAAGCCTTTGAAGTGGCAGGAGAAGGAACATCTCGGTAAAAAGGTGGTTGGTTTGTTTGCATAGCCAGGCAATCAATGTTTTTTGGGTTCAAGTGTGGGTGAGATAGTGGCCCGCCTTTGAAGTGGGTCTGGCAGTTTTTAAGTTTGGGTGCCTTAGTTCTTGTAAGTTATTGGCTTGGTGGGCTTGTTGTGGTTCCAGCCCAATCCTCTATTGTTGGGTATTGTTTTTTCATGGGCTTGAGCTCCATTATGGTGAGCGGCAGGAGCCTATCTTTGTACTTTTTTCTTCTCTTCTCTTTGAATAAATATTTATACCTAACCCAAAAAAGTTAGGTAAAAAATCAAGATGCAACATCACTTATTTCACCCTAATTTTTAGGGGCCAGAACTTGCTTGTTGACTTTGGTTGTTAGATAGGTTATTGAGTTATCTGTGAATTTGAATCTTTCCATTTCATAGCTTATCTTGGAGTTGATTTTAGCTTGTTTAGTTCTAGTAGGATTATTATTGGTTATTTTCATTTTTTTTTCAAGAAAAAGGTATTTCATTCAATAAGTATGATAAGGATTTACAAGTATACACCAAAGTTATTTTAAAAGTCTAAATCCTTATTTGACTGCCCTTATTGGTTACCTATAGGTTTGCCTTAGCTTTGAAGCAGTTAAGTGTTGTTTCTGGTCAATTTCAAGTTTAAATTGGAGTCTATAAAGGAAGATCCGAATTATTATGTTGCTTTTGTAAAAACAGTCTTTATAATTGAATTTTGAGATGAAATTTGACGCAATTAAAAGTTTGTTTTGAAATTACCGGCAGGAAAGAGTGATTTCCTCCTCCTATATCTCTAAAAATTTTATCTTTATTCTTCTCAGTTTTAGATTTTAATCTCTTTCTTTCATAACCCAAGTATTTAATACCAATTCCTTACCCACAACATACACCCTGGTAGAACTTCTCTCCTTCACATCTTACTTCTACCTGTCATCGGGGATGTTATGACTTCCAGAAGATTAAGCATTCCAATTTTCAATTTTTAAAAGAAGTGCTTGCAGGCATTCAAATCTGTATTTTGATGGAAATGGAAAGAATGGAGCTTCAAACCTGCTTTTGAAGGAGCAAAACATCAAGAATTTATTTATTATTGGAGAACAAAACTCCCCAAGTTGTGCAATTACAAAGTGCTAAACCTAAACCAAAGACATAAAGAAAAACAGAGGAAAACCTTATATGCTCAAACATCGCTGCATAATAACAAAGTATTTAAAATAGATACCAAGTATTTTTATATAAATTCTACAAGCACAGTGTTAGATGGAACATCTGAGAAACGGTGGCATGACAATACAAGCCAAAGAACAGTGTAAGTTTTAGTATATCTTTGGTGTATTGGATATCATGGAAAATAAGACAGTGTTTCAGTTCAACAAAAACCTTGGGAAAGATTATTAAAACTTATTGTCCTTAAGTATAAAGATTAGAAACATGCTTACTTGATGAATCTGCAACAGAATTTTCGATTATAAGTTCAGGCTTAACACACGAATCTGCAACAGGGTACGGTTCAGGCATCCAGTTGATGAACTTTTGCCCTCCAGCTTCCCTCTTAGCTTGGCTTGGATCCATCTGCTTGGTATCTGCTTCTTCAAAAGAAACAGATCTTTGGTCAGGAACTTCAAGGACTACCTTCGTAGCCGAAGGCCGACTTCCATAACCAAGCAAACCAGTTTTCTTTGATCCAACAACTTGCCCAGCAGGCACTTGAGGCTGCCCCGACTTTGGCCGATTTGAAGTAGGGCTTGCAATCCACTTCTGTGCATCATCCCATTTAGAAGGTGCCGGTTTCGAGAATGGAGCATATGGCACTCTGTGTGGCGCACGTTCTGCCTTCTGAAACTCAAATGTAGATGATGATACACTTGCACTGTCATGCCCACTATCATAATCTAGAGAACTATCTTCCTGAGATCTAGTCCTCGAATTGGCTAAACTGTGCTCCCTAAATCTACGATCACTAGCCATGTCAGAGGCCAATGCATCTCCCATCGTTGTTGAGGCTGAGCATTCAGGCCGTACACTCACAATGTCTACATCCTTGCAACTCTCAGAAGTGCTAACCCCTAAGAAAATTTCGTTCAAATTCAACCAACCAAATAAAACTAAAAAGAAAACCCATAAACAAATAAACCACTACATTGCAACTATAACTTCTTTTCCGCTGAACTAAAAAGAGGAAACCATAAGGTCAACCAAAAGAGAAGCAGTTTAATTAAGTTCAGGAAGCTAACCTCTGTCATCCATCTCACTAACTTCAGATCTCAAAGAATACGTTGATTCAAGCTCTTCCTCTTCCTTTCTCTTCTTCTCGATTCCCAAAAGCATGCTCCTCAGCTTACCTGGAGAAAATCCTCCACCCTGTAAATATTACAAACATGGTCAAGAAGCAGAAAAAAAAGAACATATTGAACAGAAAATGAAAACACCCAAAAACCAAAATACCCACGTAATCTTACAAAATCTCTACCAAAATAATGATCAACCTGGTTGTCCCAGTAGCAGATCTTATTAGATCTTAAAATTTAGATTCATCATCATCCTCATATCAAGAAATTTTGGCCTGAAGCTAACAACTCAAAGAGATACCCAAGAAAAATCAAAGCCAAATGAGAGAAAATTTTGCAGGGCTTAGTTACAGAGATTTTTTTTATGGAACCAAGAAACATAAGATAAAAAAGTGAAACATTGGGGGAAGAGAAAGCCAGCAAAGCCAAGCCAAGCCAAGCAAGGCAGAGCTAGTTTTTAAGTTGAGAATAAAACAGATGGTACGTACCAGAGGCTTTTCAATCCGTTCGTAATCCATCAGGCTTGGTTCATCAGTCTCTAATGCAACAATGGCTGAAACATAATAGGCTTTTTTTCTGCTTCTCTCTCAGTTCTCAGTGATTGCCTTCAGTGACTCTTACTGCCTTCGCTCATGCTTTCGAAGAAAAAACAATAAAAATAAGAGGTTTTGGAAGTTGGAGATTGGTGCTAAACATAGTGAAGTTGGAACCAAGTGGTTAATAAAAATCCTTAGTTTTGGCTTAATTTACAAGAATGCCACTTCTGATTTAGCCGTTGAAAGTATTACATTAATTAAATATTAGTTATTTCTTTATGCTTTAACTACATTCGATGGAGACAAGCGTAGACTAATTGTTTATTAAAAGGCAAAACAAGAAACAATTAATTAGTTTAAAATAGGCTTTGGGGAACAAAACTGTTACATTAGGCCAGGTTTTATGCTTTTGGTTGGATCATTTACACCAGGTTTCATTTGCACTAGTGTAATTGTATGGTAATGCAAATAGATTGAATGTAAATTCAGGTTTGTTTTTACTTGTTTGTGAAAAAAAAAATAGGAAATAAAATGGTGTTGTCCCATCATATATGCAAGAGAATAGAGGTAGGAAGAGTATTGCTTGTTTGGGAGTGAAGATGATATGGTCCCCACTTTAAACGAGAGAATCAAAGAATTGAAGAAAGACAAAAGTAATGCAAAATTTACACCAAATTTTGAGATGCAAAATTTACACTGCAAATGAATATAAATGAGACTTTTGTGCAAAATAGGAGTGTAAATCATAGTTACAAACAAAAAGGTTGTATATTGATTCAAATTAAATGAGACCTAATGTATAAATATCCTATCAAGTAGGAATTCAAATTATGTTGAATGCAAATTTTGTATCTGATTCAGATTTATACTGCAAGATTGCAACCAAGCGCAGCTAATTTCCTATTGGGTTAGATCTATCTATTATCCGTTCATGTATGAGGACGAAACTCGAGTAGAGGAATTCAAGGGCATTTTGGTCAACGTATTTTCCTTATTTCTTTGGTAGATCAGATGTGGTTGAGAGTATGTATACTCAGTTTGGGTAGAAGTCACCCCCCCCCCCCCCTTAAATCTTAACGCATGTTAATGCAACGGCCTTGGAATCTGATTTGTTTCTGAGTTCTGACGTATGGCAGATCAAATGGCAGTTCTACAGGGGGCCATTTGTTCCCTTGTCACGTGACAAAAAATTAAATTTTCTCTAACTTTTTAACTAGAAATGATATAAATAAATATATATATATATATAGATATATATAATTTAGGGGTTTCAATTTGTAAGGAAGTGAATATAATATTACAAAGTGATAAATAGAGCCAAATTGGATGATCTCTATCTTTTTTTTTTTTCTTTTTTGAGGTAAAAATCAAGCCAAATTGGATCATAGTGTGTTGTTAGAATATGTAGGTTTTGTTGGCTCTGTTTGGTTTGAAAAATAAATAAGGGAGAAATAGAAACTTGAGGAAAAAGTCCTTAATAAAATTTAATAAAAGGGCATTGGGTTTGAAGATCACTTTTTTTTAGGCTCCATTTGTTTGTAATACAAATATTGAATCGGGGTATTTATGTACTATGGTTTCTATTTGTGAGCATTTGACATGTAAAAAAGTAATGATTACGGTTGCATTTGCGTCGGGCATTTGGAAAGATGGTATAATTATTATTGACGTAAAATTACATTGTGGTTTAGTTTTGCATGCATTTCAATGGAGTATAGTTTTATGTCAATAATCAATCTAAAACCTCATCAGCTCTAAAGTTTTAAGTTGATAATCGATGATTAAATCAATATAAAACTTACACTCTTTCACCCATCACTATTTTCAAAAAAGTAATGGGTTCAGTGTAAAACGCGATCAATATATTGAGGCTCTGACGCAAATTCATACTATTATCGCAGATTGCAGGATTCTTCTTCACAATAATCCCCATATAATCATCTCTCATACTCCTCAAACATGGCAGCCCATTGTCTAACTAAGCATGCTTGCAATGTCTCTAGAACAATTCATTGGTCTTCTCCCCTTAGTTCTTATTGCATGTATTGTTGAAAGACAAGATGCAATGAATCTGCAACGGGCTTTCTTAAAAATAAATGATGAACATATTATCTAGGGCTTCGGGTTTCTGAATATGGAGACATAGGATCAAACCTGCATTACTTCAAGTAAGATATTCTCATATATTCCTTGCTCTATCCTTCCCCCATCCCGCATTGACGAGAGCCTCATGCACTGGGCTGCCCTTTACTTAGTTATGTCCCCACCCCTTAATATCAGAAAAGAAAAATAAAAAGACCCATGCTATCAGATTGCCTATGGAAACAATGTCTCCATGGAGGTTCCCTTTATGGGATGCATGGTGTTAATTAACCAAAAATCAGATTATAGATGTTGGGGAGTATTCTATAGCAAATTGAATATCTTAATGGCATCTAGAACTTGTGACCTTTGTTTACTTGGCTCCTCCACATGGAGTAGGATATTTAAATATCCTTAAATATAACCACCATCACCCATGTGAATGTGGAGTTTTCAAAGGTGCAATTGAGCCAAGGATGCAGATGAGTTAGGCCTGGTTATGAGGGCTGTTCTTAAAATTTAGCTTAAGCTTGTTCTCACATGATGAGGTAGCTCAAGTGCTCAACTAGACAAACAACCCTAATTCCAAGTAATGGGGCTTTTATACAGAAAAACTGTAGTATTTTGCGATAGGAATGCCACAACATTAGGTCATAAGACATTTTAGGGGGTGTTCAACAACATGGTTGGTTTGTTTTCATAAAAAAAAATAATTGTCACATCAGCAAAACAATATAATTTTGCTCATGCAGTAGTTGTTTTTGTTTTTAAAAACAAAACCAACCATGTTGTCAAATACCCCCTTAGGAGACTTGATGGTTGAACCATAGTATGAGGATTGCCCTTAATATTGAACTCTCTTTTTGTTGTGGTTGCACAATGTGGGGTAATTAAAGGAGCATTCTACAACATGAATGTTTTTGTTTTCATTTGTTGTTGGAATTGCCACATCAGCAAAAAATAAAACATGTTTTTAAACTTTGTTTTTGTTTTAAAAGGAAAAAACATGTTGGTTTTGTTTTGGAAAACAATACATGTTTTTGGAATCATATTGGTTTTTAAAATAAAAACCAGGTTCAAGAACAACTTTTGGTTTCAGTTTTTGAAAACAGAAAACACACACAGACATACACAAAGAACCAAGAACATGCTTATTGTGTTTTTGTTTTAAGAAACAAGCTGCTTTCAAACAAGATGGTTTTCATTTGTTTTTTGAACCAACAACAAGAAAAACAATTCATATTATGGAATGCCCCCTAAGGAGGCATTCGACAACATGATTGATTTTGTTTTTGAGAACTAAAAGTCTAAGGGAGCATCACAATATGAATGTTTTTTTGTTTTCATTTGTTTTTATAATCTCCACATCAACAATCTGTTTTCAAAAACTTTTTTTTTTGTATTTTTGTTTTAAAAACAATCTGTTTTCAAACGAAATAGTTTTGATTTATTTTTGAAAATCGCAACAAGAAAAACAATTCACTTTGTAAAACGCCCTCTAAGTCTATTTAAGGGTATAACTAGGTCTAAAAACCTAAAATCTATATCGATTATGGAAGTCCTCATCCTTGGCATTTTTATTTCACTCCTACAATTATGCTAAGGTTGGGGTTTTGCCTGTTAGAGTTTGGGATATAGACAACCCAAGAACCTTCAGGGAGGTAGCAGCATGGTTGGCTCCCAAAAGGGCTCCACGCTTTCTCTTCATCCTTGTTCTTATCTATGGGGAAGTATCCAAAAACACCTGATTTTGTCGACAACTAACCCCCTTATCACTTTTGTACCTTATTCTATTCCACCTAAAAAATAAATCAAGGTTTTGGGTTGCTAACTTATAAAATTGATAGCCAATGAATGCTTTGAATTAGTTCACATCAACAAACAAAAATAGCTCCATTAGTAATGTCTTCCTTCTCACACACAATTAGGAGAATCAACTGATCCTGCAAATTTGAAAAGCTTGATATAGTCTACGCAATTTAGGCCTCACAGTGGTGTGTTTGAAATAAAAGGTTTTGAAACTCACCGCAATTTTGATAAGAATATTTATATTTCAAATCTCATTACTTTGAAACACACCGCACCACCCTAGGTGTTCTAAGGTGTGGTGTGATGTGTTGTATTATGAAACTCGAGGTTTTATTATGTTTCAAAATCTATGATATTTTGTATTCTTGAATTAAATTCAGCCAATTCCAAAATATGTCATCACTGTAACGGTTAAGTGTAAAGTTTTGAAAATTAATCTTGAATTGGAATTGTTCTAGCCACTAAGGTTTTTAAAACCGGACTGGATAAGGAATTGTTCTGGGTCTGGTTCTTGGGTTGAATGGTCCAACCATTCCGTTTGAATGAATGATCCATTCCGACAAAAAAATTAAAAAACAAAAAAAGGTCAAAAACCGTTGATCAATTTGACCGTTCAACTGCTCAAGACTAAATCAATGGTTTTTGGCCAAAAAGCGGTTTTGGGGTGAAACTGAACCAATTAGGTGATCGATTCTCAGTTTTTCCAGTCCGACCGTCAGGTCCAGTCTGGTTTTGAAAACATTGCTGGCCATTGATTTCCGGGTTGATAGTTCGAATGGATGGCCCATTCCAACTTAAAAAAATAAAAATAAAAATAGTTAAAATAAAAAAGGGGCCAAAAATCATTTAACGGGTCGAATGGATTGACGATTTGACTACCTAGACAGAGCTAAGAGTGAAACAGAACCAATTGCCTGAATGATTTTCAAACCGAACGGTCCAACCGTCTGAGACAACAGTTGTTCCAAAACACTGGTTAAATGGTTAATGAAATAGATATCTGAAAAAACAAAAAAAA